ATCGTTTACTCAATTATACGATTCTACAGGTTTCACTTAATTCGGATAGTCTGGTTCTTCGTTCTTCTATTTTTTTTATCTATTTTTATTTTACTAACCCATCTTCTATTTAACACCAACCCGCCACCATGAAACATTCTTTATCTGCCGTATTTTAGTAGTACACCTGTTATACGATCGTATGAGACCCAGATATGCGGGTTTCACCCAATTTTAGATTAATCATAAATGCCAAAGCCCGAGGCATCGTTGTTGCGCCATAATTGCAGATTGTTCACCGATCCGGGACCTGATCGTTGTTTGGGTCACGTTTTAGGTGGTCATGATTTATTCTGCCTGTAACACCATATTAAGAGCTTTTTGCCTTCATTGTCAAGTAATTAATCACGATAAAGGATACTAATGTTGATGAGATTTTTGTATAATTTTATGAAGAGAAAAGGATTCATTGTTTTTCTTATTTGTAGTCCAGCTCCTTGAAAGGGCTATTATTCAAGCGTGGGTCTAATGTCTATATTGAAAATTTTTGCTTTATATAGTGTTAAACATGTTAAATTGAGTTTTCATATCGAATTCAGGTATGGATATGCTTGAATTGCCAATTACTCTCTACCAGATTGGCTCTTAGAAGACCTTGCTTGATATGAATTTTTGCCAAGTGACTATTCTGATCTAAACCATTTAGACTCCAATGTAGATTCATTATTTGTTGTATTAAAAGCTCTTGCCAAAGAAATTTACAGTTTTCTAAATCTCTATATGCAAGTAAAAAGTTGCTTGTTGTAGATGGCAACTTGATTTTGTTCTTTATCAGTCTTATCATCGGTTGATGTATTTCTTCAAAGCATTTTTTGATAAATTTGAAGTTTGAAGAATATAACATAGCTTAGGAATAAGATACATATTGTTTAAGTAAATTAGCTGACTTAGTGAAAGTTTCTTGTATCTTAATATCTTGATAGTCATCTGAACTATTTGTTTAGCCTTATTTTTGATCAATAAATTTTGAGCTTTACCAATTATTCAAATACCCAAAAATCTTGTAAGTGATTTGCTTTTTTCTACTTCTACTTTTTCATTTCTAGTATTACATTCTGATTGTCTAAACTTTTTGTCAAGTTAAATACTATCAGCTTTGACTTTTTTGGGTTTACACGAATATCGTTAATTAAGTAAAATTCTTTTGCAATTTTGAGTATCTCTTCTAGCTGTGACTTGCTACTAGCTATCCAAGTTGTGTCATCTGCGTATGCTAAAGTTGCTTGGCAAAACTTCGTCTCTTTGAATAAGTTCTTATACAGATTTAGCGGCTTTTTGAGGAGTATATTAAATTATCATTTATTTTTTATATTTTAATTTTTTTATTATTAAATTATTGTTTTTTTTTATATATATTGTTACAGAGTAATAGCCTTCTTAATTTACTCTATAACGACGACACGGCACAGGGAATCTTTTCGTAGGTATATGCGGTGTCCAAGAGGTAAGTATAGCTTCTTTTCTCTTTAAGAAACTATACCCTTCTCTAAGGCAGTTCGTGGGGAAATACAATAACAATAATAACTTATAACTAATAATTAATTCGTTCTATAACAATATAAAAAAATATTTCATAATACGCGGTGTGTTTACCCCAAATCCGTAAATTATGGGGATCATGGGAAAAATAAATAATGATGCAAACCCAGAAAAGGAAATTGACCTTCTGAAATGAAACCCTGATCCGATATAGCACGGGACTCATCAGTTTATTACAGTATTAGAATCGAATCTAAATATAGATATATATAATACCCGGGTCGTTTTCTGAACCATGAACCCATGAATTGTACCCAGGTCTTTTTCATGGGGGATACTGTTTTCATAGGACGACTTTCATCTGATTGGCTGATGTAATCAATTGCCCGGCCAGCGCTAAGCCACACAAACTACTTGCGGGATCCCGGGAAACTTATTTATACACAAAAAAATCGTAAATTCTAGTTCTAAACGAACGTAGATATTCACTGTTAAAATAATCCACCTTTCCAAGAACTTCACTTAGGTGCGAATATTTTATGTAAGGTTTAAATGCCAAAAACGGTCAATAAAAAAAGGAAATTGAGACATTACATGTAAAATGTGATATATATTATAATAATAGGCTTGTACTAATGTTTACAGTATATTTTACGTTTATAGAGCTATACTATTACAGTAATAAATAGTGTTCCGACCCGGGTCAGATAATAGTGACCCGACGGGTCAGATATTTAACCCGGGTCATATGGACAATCATAAAGTTTCTTAAGCACTTTTCAAATAATTTATTCGCAAAAAAACTTATTCAATGAGATTTTACATAGTGGCGATGTTGTAAATCATCAAAATGTAATAACTTTGATAAAAATTAAAGCGATTACATAAAAATTTTTTTTTATGTACACTAGTAAAAAATAAAAAATTCGAGGTGCCGAATGGCACTATTTGAATGCCATTCGACATGCGCCATTCATGACTTCACGAAAAGGGATGTCGAATGGCATTCTAATAGTGCTATTCGGCACATCGAATTTTTTATTTTTTACCAGTGCTAATTTATATAATATCGTCTTTTTTTTTAAAAAAAGGGGTTAAAAACATTTACAGCTATTATCATAATTCCTGAAACACCTGATAAAAATTTGTTGAATAAGTTATAGATTTCGGGAACAGTAACAGATATAATTTAATAACTTAAAAGTACGTATATCGAAGCTTATATAAATTTACCTAATAGGAATATCATATGAGAATGACATAATGATTAATGTCATAAAAATAAATTTTTTGTTTAGCGATATATTGTAAAACGGTTTACATTACGTATCGCGGCAAAAATGCACTTGAGTATTATAACAATGATATTCGTAACTTAATTGAACTCAATATCCACCCAAAATTATTTCTTCTTTCTGTGGGAGAACCATTTGGACGAGCAGTCAAAAATTGTCTTTATTCGCTTCATATATCATAAAATATCCCAAAGTCAAAAAATAATTAATGAGGCAATAAGCACGAGCTGTGATAGTTGAATTATAATGACATTATTATTTTAAATTTATATATTTTTAAGTCATCATGGTATTTTAATAGTTTCTTCTCTTTGTGCCCTAATTATCAAAAACGGTGAATTTTTTTTTAGAGCGGGTCAATAAAAATGGGTCAAATGGTCAAAAACAATGTTTTTGCATCAAATACATATTACACGTTTGAATAATCAATAATTTTTTTATAAAACAAAGTATTCGGATTATGGCCATTTTGTATTATTGTAAAAAACAAATTAATGAAATAAAATAAAAACTTTCTCAGAATATCCTCAACGTCGACTTTTTTAGTGTCCAGCAATTTCCAGCATCCGCTAGCGATATCGCGAAACAATCAAGATAAAATTTTCTTTTTGTGATATTGCTTTATTTGAAAAGTCATTTGATTTTTATTAGCCAATTTTATTTGGTTTTTTTGCCAGCTTTAATGTCTTTGGATAGGTTGACTAAATACATTCTCATTTTGTTTTTAAATTCTTCATAGCCTACTACTTGGTTCATTACTTCATTGAATTTAGTTAATTGGGGGACATTTAAGTCTTTTTGTCAGGCCTGGATTAATTAGAAAATTTGTATACTAGATATCATAATGGTCAGAATATCTAATTGCTGGGTCACGAGAAATTACTAATATAGTAGTCGTACAGATTAAAATATCGCAGATAACGCAGTAGATAATATGTGTGCTATATAACTGAGTCTGTAAGCTTTATCTAATGGCTGACAATCACGATACAAATCGTTGAAAAATGCTTTCATTTATCAACATAGCTCGGCCTTTCTCAGGGTTTCGCCTTTTATTAAAGTCTCAAAAGCTTCGTCTTTCTCCGGAGGTTTCTTTCTCTGGAGGTTTCGCTTTTCGTCAAAGGTTTCTCCCTTCGCCAGGAATTTCGTCCTTCGCCAAGAGTTTCGCCTTTCGTTTTTCCTCGAGCCTAGGTTTCATTTTTCACCATTTACATAAAATAATTTCGCCTGTCGCTATTACTTAAAATGGTTTCGCCTAATAACTATAATTTGATAACTACACAAAGATACAACTTCTATAGAAAAATCGTTTTTTATGTCTCCGTTTCCAACAAGAACTCACACTTGCGGTGAATTGAAATCACGTAATGTTGGTGAACGTGTGGTATTATGTGGATGGGCGCAAAAATTGCGGTATTTTATCATTTAATAATCCATTTTGAATTCCAAAATATGATCAATTCTTGAATCTCAGTTTAAGTTATTGGCAGATTGGATGACTCATAATCTCAAAATCGCATTTTATTCTTGTGGCATAACAGTACAATATCTGGGGATTTATATTTTCTTCCATTACGAGATTCTTATGGAACAACTCAACTTGTTTATCGATCTTCTAGCGATCCGGAGAAAAGCCACCTTCTTAAGGACGAATTATTAAAACTGTCTCCTGAAAGTGTTATATGTATAGAAGGTATTGTGGTGAAAAGACCCGTTGAAACAATCAACAAAGTAAGTCTCTATTTCTTGAAATAATTTGTTTTTGTTTTGATTAATCTAATTTTATTTAAAGCATTCAATGACAGGTGAAATTGAGGTAGAATTGGATAAATTATATTGTCTTAATCCTGCAAATAAGTTACCTTTTACTCCAAATGATAAGAATATTGTAAGTATTTTTATTGATTTTTGTAATTTATCAATAGATGTTATTTGCATGTATTTACTGTTCTATTTCTTATAGCCAAATGAAGAGACTAGGATGAGATACCGTTACATAGATTTGCGGCGTGATTCTCTTCAAAATAACCTTCGTAAAAGATCTTTGACATCGTGGACTATAAAAGATTTTCTCGTAAAAGAAGGCAAGTAGTAATAATATATTTATATTATTTATATTACGAATTTTAACAATAGATTCTTTTTAAATATATTTAGGATTTGTGGAGGTAGAAACGCCAACATTGTTTAAGTCAACACCTGAAGGAGCACGAGAATTTATTGTACCGACTCGAACAAAAAGTTTATTCTATACATTGTCTCAAAGTCCACAACAAGTTGAGTTTTTAAAAATACTTAATGTCCAATTTGTTTCACAACACTTATGTAAAACAGTTTCTTTTTTTTTTGACTTTATTTTTTTCAATTCGTTGATGTGTACAAGTATAAACAATTACTTATGGTTGGAGGAATTGACAAATATTTTCAAATTGCGAGATGTTTTCGTGATGAAGATTTAAGATCTGATCGGCAACCAGAATTCACTCAAGTATTCTATATTCTTCGTTTTTATAATCTAATTTTAATTGTTTTTTATTCCTGATATATATATATTCCTTTTAAATAAAATAAAACAGATCGATCTCGAAATGTCATTTGCATCTATCAATAATATAATGTCTCTAACGGAGAGGTTAATTTCTCAAGTTTGGAAACAGGTCCTTGGAATTGATTTAGATGACAAATTGTCTTTTCCTAGAATTAGTTACGAAAATGCTATTAACAAAGTAACGTGTCTATTGTAATTTATTTATTACTACTATACATGTTCTTTATATATTTAATTATTGCAATGGTTATTTCTACAATAGTATGGAAGCGATAAACCTGATACACGATACGATTTGGAGGTATTTATTAATGCCATCAATTTTCTCGGCAATTATAATATTCAATTTATGCAAATGCATAAAATTACTATAGATCAAAGATATTTCTAAATTTGTACCTGGAATGCCAGAGCTTTCCGATCATATTATTGAATGTCTAATAATCAAGAATGGAAGAATATTAACAGGAAGTGAGATTAAGTCTTTAAAGACTTTGAATCATGGCTTTGAGGTGCCAGCAGAAAGAATTATATCAGACTCTGTAAGTTCATTGTTGATCCTTGAAATTTTATATTTTAACTATCCTTATTTTATGTTATGAAATTTTCTAGAGACCAGACTTTATTAAGATTACACCAGATAATATTAATTCATGGTTGTTAGAGTCCATTATAACGCGTTATACATCTCATATTTCTCACGTACAAGAAACAGCGACAAATGAGCTCGGAGTAGAGGTTGGAGACTTGATGATTATTAATAAAAGAAAGATGACTACGGAGGTATGTTTTATTTAAGAAAATTTAACATAAAAAATATACTTATGAATAATTTTCATTTTTTATTAATAGGGAAATTGGACATTACTAGGGCGTCTACGCTCGCATGTTGCAGAAATTTTAGAATCGAAGGGTATTTTTAAATTTACAATCTAAATCGTTTGCTCCATAGAATATATTAATCATAAACTTCAATGTTTATAATAATAGGAGTTTTAAAAATTCCGTCTTCTAAATACAATTTCCTTTGGGTTGAATCATTTCCATTATTTACACGGGATAGAGAAAATAATGATAAATTAATTTCAACTCATCACCCATTTACTGCGCCTGTTTCAGATGATTTGAAGTTGCTTTTGACTGAACCCGAAAAGGTATAATAAGAGCAATTTTATAAGTTATTTGATAAAAGAATCCAAAAAACACATGTGCATTACAATATATAAATAGGTCCGAGGACAACACTATGATTTGGTTGTAAATGGAGTGGAAATTGGTGGTGGTTCAATTAGAATTCATTCTCCTTTGTTACAGAAAATCATATTGGAAGATATTCTAAAGGTATTTTCAGTATAATTAATTTCCATATCCTGCCGTGAATAAGCACCCACCTTTTGCAATTTCCATACCCAAGTTTCTCATGATCTAATGGTCGGATCTGTATAATTTTGGTACTATTCGAATCAGCTTATCAAACCGATTCGAATGGTACCAAAATCATGCAGATCCGATCACTAGATCATGAGAAACTTGGGTATGTAAATTTTTGCTTATTCACAGTAATTAATTTAATTAATTAATTTACAGTCAGACCTCGTTATAGTCACTCTTGATATAGTCACAACCTTGATATAATCACACTATTTTTAACTCGAGCTAATATAAAACATATAAAATTTGACCTTTATATAGTCAACTTTTTATAATCACTAGATTCTTGTTTCCCAAGCTGGTGATTATATCGAGGTTTGACTGACTGTATTTATTTATTTAACTTATCACTTTCTTTTTTTCATAGATGAGTCGAGCTAAAAAATCAGAGTTCGATCATTTAATTAATGCGCTTGGATATGGATGTCCTCCACATGGTGGAATTGCATTGGGTAAGGCATAAAGCATAATTTAACAAAAATTTCACATCAAAAAAAATTGATATAGCCTCTATTGATGTTAAATAATAGGATTAGATAGAATAATGTCTGTAATATGCAGCACTAGCTCTATTCGTGAAGTAATAGCATTCCCAAAAGTTTCTTCAGGTGCCGATTTGAGCGTATCAAGTCCTAGTGAACTTTCTAAAGAAAAAATAAGAGAATACAAAGTTGAAGTCTTGGAAGAAAAAGATGACAGAAAGATTATTGATGATATTACAATTGAAAGAAATCTGCCCATTATGAACTTGAGAGAAATATATACTAAAGTGGAAATGTATTGATAAAAAAGCATTTATAATTGCGAGGTATAAAAAACCCACCTGTGTGTATGTGTTATCAAAACAAAATCATTCTTATGTAGGGCCACCGATTTTTTGCTGCGACAAACCCCAAATTCTGCCTGCTTCACAAGCTTGTTTATGCGAAATTGCGAATATTTTTTCTTATTTATGATGTAAATTCTGCGACTTTCTGCAATTTTTTAAAACTACGCCATAAATTCTGCGAATTTATACAATCGAACTTTTTTAAAAACTCAATTTATAATTTTGCTTAAATTCGCTAAAAATTTCCCTGAATTATGCGAAATCTACTCTGATATGCCCATATGGGTTGAGTCACGTGAAGTATATAAAATAAACTGTATAATCCCATAAAGCTTATCACCTGATAAATTAACATCTTTACATCAGAAAAAGACCTTTGTTATCTTTTCAATATAGACAAGTTTATTATACATAATGTGTTAGAGTTTTAATTGAACTCTATGAAATCGCATTAATAAATACTGTCTTTGAAAAACAATAAGAGTAAATTAGGCTTTTATAGTTGACAAATACGTATTATTGAAGTCACCGACTCTTATGACACTTTTTATAGACTTTAAATTGATATAATTAAATTTTTTCAGGTTTATAAATTATTCAATCGATGTTTCTTCTTTACTTTTCGTAATTCCATATTTCTCTCTAGCTCTTTTCCTCCTCTTTGCTTCCCTTTTTTTAGCAATCTCTCTTTTAATAGCCGACTTGCTTTGATCCCCATTATAATAATCATCCAACTTTTCAATCATTAACTTTCTTGCTATCGATCGATTTTGTTGTAATGACCGTGTTTGCTGGCACTTTGGACAAAAAATCAGGTTTTTTAACAAGGAAAGAATTTACAAATATGAGAAAAATTCAACGTATTTAATTACCACGACTCTAATTCCGGTCGGCACATGTCTCAAATCAACACAATTCGACGTTTTGTTTATTTTTTGTCCACCATTTCCTGATCCTTTAACGAACGATTCTGTCAAATCTTTTTCGTTTAAAACTATTGTAATTCGTTCTTTTTTCGATTCTTCTTTAATTTTATAATCATCACTGTCATTAGTAGTCGGATCATCTTTAATTTTATAATCATCACTGTCATTATTCACAACCATTTTCATAAATGGTGAGATACGAAACCCCCTGGCGGAAAACAAAACCTCCGGCGAAAGACGAAACCCCTGACGAAAAGCAAAACCTCTGGTAAAAGGCGAAACTCCTAATAAAAAGTAAATTCCTCGGAGAATTACAAGGTCGCCAGAAAAAACCATCCTGAAATTTTAATAAAATATAAAAGGCAAAGTTATATTAGTGTTATATAGTAACAAATGCATTTATCGATATCGATATCAGCGGATTTATGAAATTGGACCTTTTTTTTGGTCACTAAAATTTAATAATTACAAATCAAATTTTGTTCCTATATGTATAGTTGTATATTTCCTAGTAAATAACAGCAGCTTATCATGCCTAGCAGTTGCCTAGCCAATTTAACCAATTCCTTGTGAGCAAATTGCGAGTGATTAAGAGTAATTGAGGTGCAATAATATATAAGCTCACAAACGAAAAACGAAACTACGTACGTGATTAGCATTGTATCTTGGCACTATAATTTTAAATTATCTGAAACACACTCATTTACTTCAAATGGGTGAGTATAGCATATTTAAACTAAGCTAGTCAAATTTGTAAACGTTTACTATTATTGTTTGGGGCGTAACAGAAGACTCAATTTCTATGTAAATTGATACCAATCCGTTTATTACAGTTTTATTTCAAAAACGTAACTTGGAATTTTCTGTCGCTTCGGACTTATTTGATAATGAATAACTTTTGATCTACTGGTTCGTTTTGGTGATTTTGCCACAAGTGACCGTCTCAATGAAACAATTTCAACAAGCTCAATATCATTAAAATCCAATTACAGGATCCCAGATCATTAAGATTTTGTGTCCAATTTTAAAATACCATGATCTCGGTATCCTGTAATTAGATTTTAACGATTTTGAGTTGTTGAAATCGTTTTATTAAGGCGGTCATTTTGGTGGTAAAACTATCCAAAATAGACCAATAGGTCAAAATTATTCACTATTATTTGCAATAACTTTTATTTTAATACAGTATAATAATTTTTTAAAATAACTACATTTAGATTTTTCTAAGTGCAGCATGTATTTAGAAAACAATAAAAGTTATATTTATGGAAGGTGGAAATATACTTGGGCCAGAGCTTAAGATTACAGTTAGAGGTTGTATTTAGAGAGATTTGAAATAACTAGACAAAAATAACTAGTTTTTATTTGAGAATAAATTTTATTGCTAAAACTTGGTTTTTTTTTTATTAATTAAAATAGTAATTAAATCTAAATTATAAAATTTTATTATGATATTTTATATATAAAAACAAAAAAATAATATATTTATTTCATTATTATTAATAAATAATCTAATAGATTTCTATTCTATTGTGGGCTCTTTAAATCTCCAGATAACTAGAAATATATCTTTATTTCTACTGTTGTGAGAAATAAATAGTATTTATAAATATAGTATAACTTAAAATATTATATATAAATTAAATAAATAATATTCAAATTTATATATAAATTTGTAAAAAAACACTTTAATTAATTTACTTAAAAACTTATATATAAAAACTATACAGTTAAATCTTCCTAAGTGCAACTTATTAAACCAAACTTTTAATAGCATATATTTAAAAAAATAATGAAAAAAATTGCATTTATATTTAGAGATGTATCTGACTATATACTGTAATTTTAAACTTGAATATATATTTTTTGATATTTCGTAATTTTTTAATATAAATTGCAAGACTAAATGCCAAGTAGTTGAAGAAAGATCTTGATCTAAAGTTTTTTAATTTGTTTTTTAAATCAAAGAACTAACTTACCTAATACAATAATATGATAGGTTAAAAGAATCATTTGAAGATAAAAAGATTTACAATATAAGTTTTTTTTAAGTTCTAAATAAAATTGTAAAAAAGGTTTTCTTGATCCTAATTGTGGTTAAATAATCAAAATCAACTTGGTGAATCCCTACACAAAATTTTTTCTTTTTTTCTTAGTTTAAAGTTTCAATAGTTTTCTGACCGTGATTCAAACCGGGAATTGAATTATGATTCTGGTCACGTCAAAGGTAACAATTACGAGTCAAATTACAAATTTGAAATAAATTAGTTTACACGTAATTTGCGAATTTTTACTTTTCTAAAAATTCTTAAACATTTCTACTCGACTCGAGTTTCGAAAAAAATTTGTCGAAAATTTATTATCATTAAAGATTCGATGTTTTTATTTTGGATGTGAAAACTTTCACTTTTTTTTTGTACATAACTATTGGACCTAACGTACCATTGTATTCTGTCTAGTTGCCAAATTAATTTTAGATTCTTAATTTTCTTGATTTGAAAATGAAAAGTACAAAGGTTTAATAATTTATAACATTTATTTAACAAATTTGATTGTTTTTTTTGAGTCTAACACTATTGACCAAAATAGAAACATATTTTGGTTTTAGTCATTATCACAATTACCACAAATGAAGTAGAAAGTAGAAATCTCGATTCCCAAACCTAAGTAAAGTCATAAAAAAAAAAAAAAAAAAAAAAAAAAAAAAAAAAAAGGAGGTTGGTCGCAATCCTAGATCTCCAGATTAGCACTATTCAACGATGAACTACAAAGTTCGCTCAAATGTCCAGGATCACCACAATAACGACACCCTGTAATACATTCTTGACTTATATGATTTTGACCACCACAATTTCCACACCTCACGTTTGATCGAGATCCGGTGATATGACTATTCCATGGGTCTATATACTCTCCATTAATACTTCTAACATTATTTTTTTCTAATTGACTAATTCGTGCTTCCAACTTTTGAATATACTTGGTTGCTTCATCCATCTCTAGTTTTTTATGTGCTTCAAATAATTGAAAAGTTTGGAATTCTCGTTCTCGACTCATCTCCATTAAATTAGTGTAACGATCTGTAACAGCCTTTACTTCTTGTTGCATGGAAACAAGTGTTTTAACCAACTGTGTTTTTTCGCTTAATAGATTTTGGATAAGTAAAATTAAATCTGCTCGACTAAAATTATCAAAGTCTACAAGACCTTCGTGAGTTGAATTATTCCCTTTAGCAACAGAACCTTGATTTAACCGTGGTGTGCTGTTCGTACTCGTATTAAGGCCAGGCGGTGTAGAAATACGATTCTGGGAAGATTCTTGAAATTCATGTGGACTCGTAGCTTGCATTTCTGAGGAATCTTGTGATGAATCTAAAACCGGAGACTTGTTTATATTTTCTTCGTTGGAAGATTTATTACTATCTTGAAATTCACGTGGATACAATTCTGAGAAATCTTGCGATTGTGATGAATTTAAAACTGAAGATTTTTCTATATTTAAATATTGAGTGGAATTTGTATTATTGTTTAAATTATTGTCTGTCATCGTGCCTATTAAAGGTTTCTGCTCTTCAGCGTGACAAGAGTTTTGCGACGTAGAAGGTTCATTTGATTGAAGCTCAGGTTCTTGTGATAACACTAAATTATTGTCTTGCTGTACAGTGACAGATTGATTATCACCTGATGAAATTGTCGTTACACTGCTAGAACTTTTTCGCTTTTTCTTTTTATTCTTTTTTGAAACTTCAGTTGGAACAGGATTGTCTACAGATTGTGATGCACCATTACTAGCATCTTTATCAGATTTCTTTTTTTTCACTGTCTCCGTTTTTCCCTTATCCATTAATTGCAAAAAAGCATCTTGTTTCTTTAATGCTAAAGTTTCAGCAATCAATCCCCAAGCTTCTTTGAGAAATAAACGTCCAAAAATTCCCGCCAATACCTTGCGACCAGTCTCAACACCTTGTTCAAAGTCTTTTAAAAGAGCTTCACGTTGCTCTTGAAATTTTTTAGCGGTGACTTCATAATTTTTATAATGTTTTTCCAATTGAATTGCTTCCATAATTTCACCTTCAGTCATTAATATTTCTAAACAATTAGTACAAATACTAGCAAGGTTTGTGACTGGAAACAAAGCACCGATTGCGGTAACTGCCGCTTGTCTCGTTGATTGCACCGTACTTTCAAATTTTTTAATTCGTTTTCTAAATTCTTTATTATTTGCTTTTTCCAATCGACCTTGAGTTGTTCGTTGAGATTGAGTTTTCCAAGATTCATCAAGTGCTTCAAGTTCTTGAATTAATTCTTTACTCTTTTTAGAAATATCTGAACGCATAATTGATATCCTTTTTGATACCATTAATTTAATATCTTTAACCACGATTAAAGCATTACCACATTTTGTTAAAATTTCATCGATAGATTCTTTAATTGGAATATTTGTTATTCTACTCTGAAAATCAACAAGAAATCCTAGTAAAATACATTGAGTTTCTTCACTAAATTGAATAGCATTGGTTAAAACCTTTTCGATAAAACCTTCTTCCCAAAAAGAAATAACGGTTTTAGCATTATGTATATAAGTTCTAAAAGCAGCATCAATATCATCTACAGTATCAGTTGTAGAAGAAAGATTTGCTTTTTTAGATTTTGGAGTCTTTTTATATGCTTCAGCGATAGGAGCCCAATAATCTTTGAAAGGAAGAGATTCATCTTGATATTCTTTCATAAAATTATCCATATTTGTCAAACAACCTTTACCAAAAATTTGATCTCTATTTGCTTCTATTTGAAGTATAGAAGTTAAAAAATTGGTAACATAAGACCAAACTTGAGATAAACCTTCTTTTAATATTTCATCATTTTGAGATTTCTCTTTAAATAAAAGATCATTGAATACACGACGATCAAGATCAAGATCAGTTGGAACTTTCCATTCTGGCCTTGTATGATGACATTGTTGTGGTGGATTCGTTAATTTCAATAAATGAAAATGAGGTTTTAAAATTTGATAATGAGATTTTTCAATCTCAATAGAATCAAGTATACAAATAAGATCACGATCTTTATCATGAGTTGAAGATGAAATAAATTTAGATAAATCAAATTCAACATTAGAAAAAATATCCGGAATAATATACAAACGATTAGGAGCCTTTATCCAAGCCAAAATTTTATGAACCATAATATCGATAATATTTTCTAAATCATTATCAGAACTATTAGTTCTAATTTTTTCATCATCATATTTAAGAATAAGTTCATTAAATTGTTGACAAACAATTGAAGCAATTTTTTTTTGTTCATCTAAGAGATTATTATCAACTTTAATTACGTTATTATTGATAGTAGTCTTCGCAGCTGCCATCCAAGTAAAATTCTTTTTATAAATGAAAATTGCCCATTCTCTACAATAAAAACAAGCACTACCATCACAAGCACGAAAACGATTAACATCTTTGGTTACGGATGTAACATCAATCCGAAGAGAAGAGACTGGTTGTAATTCTCCATTCGCTAACTTGCCACTCGATTGTGGCTTAGCACGTAGGTTTACGAGCTTATTATAAATGACATTAGGGTTAAATTCAATATCAGCCATTTTTTTTTTTAAAAAAAAAAGTATTTTAATAAATATACAGTAGTAAAGGTAAAGAAAAAAAAAATTTTCTTTTTTATCCGATTTAGTAACGGTAGGGATTTTTTTTTTTTGTTTCAAAATAAACGAATAACGATAAAGTGTATCTTCACTAAAAAGGATTACAACCAAATTTTGGTCAGAAGTTTATATTTATGCAGGTTTGAACCGGCCTTTTATATATTTACAGACAGAAAATCAGTCAATCAAAAAGAAGCAAGGCACGAGCTTTGACAAAATGATCGAAAATGATGCAGATGCATATATATATATATTTTTTTGTATTTAAATAAGAGCGAATCGTTGACGAATTTGGAATTACGTAATCAATAACTCGTTCTATGATGTAATACCGTAGTAACAAGTTATTACCGTTACAGCTTTTTTTTTTTTTTTTTTCTAACACTAACGCTAACGCTAAAACGCTAAAATTAATGACGTTACGTAAAAAGGAATTGAGAAAAAAAATTTAGTGGTTCATTTTATGTAAAATATTAGTCACGTTATACGTTTTACGTATAGTTATAGAAAGAGTATCATGCGAAACACGATGATCATATATTTCATTTTACCAAATTACTTTTTTCACCATTTTCATTACAGAACAAAAACGGTTTTTTTTTCTTTAAAAAAAAATCCAATTTTTAAGACAAAGTATTATAATCCAGTAATCGGATTAAAAGCTCGGCTACACCAAATATGTGTAAATACAACTTTTTTAGTTAGTTATATATGCAATATTTTATAATGTTTTTTGGTATTACATTGATAACCTAAAATTCACATTTCACATTATCTATTTATCGAACCTTTTTATTTACAACGGAATTTTATGTGTACTACAATAAAAGAAATAAAAAAAAAATTTTTGAAATTATGATAGCATTAGGATTAGAAGGTTCAGCAAATAAATTAGGAATTGGTATAATAGAACATAATCTTGAAACTGGTCAAGTAAATATTTTGGCAAATATTCGTCATACACATATTACTCCACCAGGAACAGGATTTTTACCACGAGATACTGCAACTCATCATAGAACTCATATTATCCCAGTGATTCGAGAAGCTTTAAAAACTGCCAATGTAAAAGTAAAAGATATTGATGTTATTTGTTATACAAAAGGTAACTTTATATATTTTTATCGTGGAATTTAATATGTATATTATGTTCATTGAATGATTCGTTTTGTATCGATAGGACCTGGTATGGGAGCTCCTTTAGTATCAGTAGGGGTTGTTGCAAGAACTTTGGCATTGCTGTGGAATAAACCAATTGTTGGTGTTAATCATTGTATAGGGCGTGAGTAAACATTTCAATTTATATGCTTTAAATTGTACGATTAACTCTCTCCAATTACAATTTTCCACTGGACGGTCTTTAATACTATGCTTGATTTAGCTATACCTTTCTTGGTTTAGTGATGGTTTTTACTACTTTGTCTGGTTTAGCATTGGTCTATACCATATTCCTGGTCTTAAAATATTGCCTTAGAATATGCATTAGAATATGCATTTTGAGTGCTATATCTGGAACCAAAAAGAAAATAATAAATTGTTCTTAGAAAACAGATGTGTTTATCAGCTTTTTTTTTTTTTTTTCTGTTACCAGATATCGAAATGGGAAGAGAGATTACAGGAGCTGATAACCCGGTAGTATTATATGTGAGTGGTGGTAATACACAAGTAATAGCGTATTCAGAACATAGGTAATGAATGATCTTGAAAGGTTTATTATCCGTATCGATCATTTACTTATATGCGAATAATATTATTTTTGTATAGGTATAGGATTTTCGGTGAAACTCTTGATATAGCGGTTGGAAATTGTCTTGATAGGTTCGCGAGAATATTAAATTTACCAAATGATCCGAGTCCGGGATATAATATTGAACAATATGCTAAACGGTAATACTTAAAATAAAATGAATTTATGAATTTATATTTATATTTTATTCTTTTATTATTTTGGTTTAAATGACATTTTTATTATTAGAGGAGATAAATTCATTGAATTACCCTATACTGTTAAAGGAATGGATGTTTCATTTTCAGGAATTTTATCCTTTATTGAAACAGTAGCAAATGAACAACTTCCATCTGGCCAGTGTACTCCTGAAGATCTTTGCTTTTCCTTACAGGAAACACTTTTTGCTATGTTGGTTGAGACAACCGAAAGAGCAATGGCGCATATTGGGAGTAAAGAAGTGTTAATAGTTGGTGGTGTTGGATGTTAGAATCATATTTTTAATTTTTTAAATAAAATTTTAAACATTCGATGAATAATATCTCGTTTACTGAATACTTGCAGGTAATCTTCGTTTGCAAGAGATGATGGCACAAATGGCTGAGCAGCGGGGCGGAAAAGTATTTGCAACTGATGAACGGTAAATATAAATTAAATGACTGGTTTACCATTTTTAAATTTATTTATTTATCTCAAAACTGTCACAAAATTTTAACAACATAATCTAGTTTTTGTATTGATAATGGCATAATGATTGCCCACGCTGGATTACTGGCATTTAGAACCGGATTTACAACACCAATAGAGAAATCAACTTGCACACAAAGGTATTCTTGTAATTAAACTTGTTTTATATCTATGTTAGTATTAATATTTATTTAACTTATTATTAGATTTAGAACAGATGAAGTTTATGTTGCTTGGCGAGATGCGAATTAATTAATTACCGTATTTCTCGGTCTAACCCACCTCCCTATAAAATACATAGCCCCCTATCTATTTATATATTTTAATTTTGGTAGCTTATGTTATTTTTGTGTTCTTTTCGTTGTTAATATTGGAGCCATGCTATTTTTGTTTATGATTGTAATATAAAAATAAAATAAAAAAATTGCACCATTATGATTATTGTTTATACGTGTAATATTTATGCCGCTCCAAACTTAAGATTCTCCAATTAAATTTTTTGACACTCCGTTGTCCGATATAACCAGTTATCGGTTTAACGTTAAGGTAAGAGTAACACGCGTATAACTTCTCTATTTATATCTACTTGTTAAATTAAATGTTTTTGCGTGTCGTATTTCTTATAAATATTTCTTTTAATTATTTAAATGCTTATAGTTATACCAAAACTTTTTACATAAACAGATAAAGCTTAACGTTAATACAGTAATATAAATTTAAAATTCTTTGTGGATATTTTTTATATTAACTATTATTAGTATCTATTAATTTCTATTTAAAGTATTGTTAAGAGCAAATAAAGTTGACTCGGAAAGATACTGTACGGACTAATTAAATGTCTTACGTGTTTATAATTTTCTTAGTTCAATTTGTGATTCATTAAAATATTTAAGTTTATAAATTGTCTATGCATGTTGTCATGATTATGCTGTAATCTCAACGTCAACAGTTAGTTATCTGTTAGTTATCTGTATCCATTATATTCAAACAAATGAAGTTTACATTAAATTGAAGAAAATTAATGCTTTTTACGTGTTTTCTATAATTGTTTATATGTTATGCATGCTAACGATAATTATGTCGTAACTTTACGTCACTCCAATTATTTGTATAACATAACTTTATATATCTTTATCGATATATCAGCAATAAAGTTTCCGTGTGTTTAACTTAAAATATATTGGGTTATTCAGTAAAAACTATTATAAATAAATCTCACTTATCTGTTATGCATACGTGTTTTCCAACCTTTTCCATATTTATAAATTTTAATATTTTCAATTACGTACAGTACGTACCATAGCATAGTATCAGAGGTCTTATTCAAAACCTTGAATTTTGAAATTGAGTACCCGGTAGGTACTATATTTGGAGTGTGTTCATATAAACGAATATAGTTATACCCCGGGTCTTATTCAAGAAATAGACTGGTTGGTAGAGGATATTATTTATGGGGGATACTACGTATAGCGATAGGCAGTGCCACCATAAATCGCCGGATACAAGATCCCCATGATACGTAGTAGACCCACCACGTAATATACCCGGATGCGTATCATGAGATCTATATCAAATATCTGGGTTGTCTATTATAAATGCAAAACATGCATACTCTTCAAAATTTTCCTCTTAGTGACATGAATTCTCGACTGCATACTAGACCCGGGGTCTATTATAAGACTTAAAATTTCGGGTCTCGTATCCGGCGATTTACGGTATACGATATAGAGATGCGAACCGTTTGCCGATCCTAACAGTTTTCGGTCAAAATTAACCATAATGCTGGCCAAAAACTGTTAGGATCGACAAACGGTTCGCATCTCTAATACGATAGTTTTATGTTAAGTATTTTTAAACGTAATATATATATTTATCATTAACTTTATTATTACGTATACGCCACAAGTTTCTTTTTCTGTAACTACACGGATCCTTTTCTCCTTATTTATTAATACCATTTGTTTTACATTTTTCGTTTTTTTTTGATATATATAGTTGAAAGACAAGAAAGAATTCTAGAAAATGGTTCTTCTGCATTATGAAAATCAATATGAGGCTGTGGTGCGTTATGAATAGCTGATTATGTCTAAATGAACTTCGTCTATCATAGCACGATCGATTATTTAGAATTTATTATAACAGTAATATAAAATTGACGTCAAGCTCATTCATTTTTTGCTAAATGATTGCAGTATGATTTAATTGACAGTTCCTGAGTGTAGGAGTGTATGAGTGTATAAGGTTAGTCAAAGAATGACCTTTTGTATATTGCAAATTGTAACACTAGTGGTAGTAGGCTGAAATATTGGTTTACTTAGAGATGAAAAATGAGAAAAGGTAAATTTACTTGATAATAAAATCCAATTTCCATTTATTTCACACGATAAAGAATAAAAAATAAAACTTACAAATTTAAAAAAAAAAAAATCTTACACATAATCCTATTTCTTGTTTAATTTAAAAAATCTTGGGCATAAAAAATCAATATTTTTGAAAAAAAAGAATATAATGTTCGTGAATGAGATAATAAAAAAAGGCAATTATTGATTGCCTTGAGAAGGAAAAAAAAAAGAAAAAAATGTAATGTCCTTTGAAAAAAAAATCAACATAAGTTTGTCATCTTATGCCCATAAGTACAATATAACAAATGTTACAAAAAAATAAAAATAAAAAATACAAAACACCCAAAAAAAATGTTTGGGCGGAAAAGTTTTAAACGTGTAAATACAAAAAAGTTTATGCTCATTTTTGTATACCCAGCATATTATTGTATGAGCATAAAACAAATTGTGATAATTTGACCTTAAATTGAAAAAAGAATAAAAAAATTGGAGATTAACATAAACAAGAAATAAAAATATATGTAAAAAAGAATACGTTCGAAAAAATAGATTTCGCCGGGGCTAGCTTCATGTCAAATTTTTGAAAGCTACCCAAAACTTAATATGTACTTTAAAAGAGTTAAAAAAAATTATAGCGATTTAAGTTAGCTTTGTTGTATCTCAAAAAACTGGTTAAATAATCGATATTTGGTGTTCAAAGTAAAACTACGATCCAAAAGCCTTTCTTAAATTTTTTGTCCCTAAACTATATAAATATATATATATGATGCATTTTTATATTTACTATTTTATTTTTACTTTTTTTTATATTACTCGTATAAACTCGAATCATTATGCGAAAAAAGATGCTAATGATAATGTTGAAAATCGTTTTCCCCGATTTGGTTTGGAATCTACTTCCTCTGGTTCAAAAGGTACAATATCTGAAATGTCACTGAATCCATTTATCAAATTATTTAGTTCCTCTAGTTGTATACTCATGGTTTCCCTAGCTGCTTCGCTTTGCTCAAGTAATGCTTTAACTTGATTTAACATTTGTTCCGCGTTATCAGCTCGTTTTTTCGATGCACATTCACCTATGCATTCTGAAGGTTGGAAATCTGAAAATGGATCTGTATTTCTTCTCTTTGAATTATATTTAGGATTTGTATCGGTACCAAAGAAACTCAAGAATGAAACTCGTCGTGCATTTGTTGATTTATTAGAAATTTCTCGATTTTCACGAACTTCATGAATTTCTCGATTTTCACGTGTTTCATTGGAATTATTTCCTTGTCGTAAATTTTCAATTTGTTTCTTAAATCTTTCATTTTCTGTAATGAGTTTTGCATTCTCGGATCTCAAAATTTTCACCTCTTTTACATCATTTTCCATTGTACTTTGTTCATATAATGCTTGTGTAGCTTCTTCATCAAGTCTTTCTATTTCTTCTCGTAAAAAGATATTTTTATCTAATAATTGACTTTGTGTTAATGTAGAAGTTTCCAATGTAATTTCTAATTCCTCAACACGTTTAACTAATTCTATATTTTCTTGAATTAATTCCCATTTTTCCTCTTTTACTCGTTCAATCTCTTCAGCCATTGTAGTTTCATTCATAAAAACTTTCTTAAATTCTTTCGTTAAATTATCTGTAGAATCGGAAAGATGTTCGGTTTGTGAAATTTTGTTTTTTAAATTTTCGTGTAAAAGTTCTGTCTTCGATAAAGTAGGTGTTACTGGTGATGATATTCTAGTGGTTCGTCCAGAATATGAATTTTCATCGTTTAAAGTAGTTGATGATTCAATAGAATATATTGAATCGGTTGACATTCGTTTATTTTCTTTTTCTAAACTTCTTAATTTCGATTTTAACGTTTCAATTTCTGTTACAAAGTCCATCTTTTCCATTTTAATAGTAACTAATTGTTCGGTAACATCTACATGTTCTTTTTGAAGAAGTGATAATGCTGTAGCGAGATCTTCTATTTGCTGGTGTAAAACTCTAACATTTGTACTATTCGGTGAAGATGTCGGTGTTTGAACTTGCGATTCATTATCCGATGTAGATAAGTCACTAGATGTACTAGAAGAATCCTTTGAATCCTTAGAACTTGGAATAGCGCCGAATGTCCAGCGCTTAGTTTTATCCCGTTTTTCACGGCTCTTCTTTTCCTTTTTATTTCTACCAAATCTTCCGTTGAACCTAACAGCAACTAATTCATCTGCTCTCTTCTTTTTATCTTCCAATTCTTTAACATAAATTTCTGAGAGTTGATCCAATTTTGCTTTTGTAATTACTGAACTTAAAGCCATGGCATCATTTATTAGCCCAGTAGGTTCATTATTATATGACTCATAAAGGCTTGATGTAAGAAAATCTAATAAATCTTCAAATTCTTCAAGTTCAAGTAATTTTGCTTCATTCTTTTGTAATAAAGCAACTGCAACACGCATGATGGTTTCTGGTGCACCTTCAGCAAATACGATATCATAAATTCTTAAGACAAGTGGTAAAGGATATGTATAAGCAAAAAGTGACAAGAACCATTGAGAAGCAAACATGGCTACATTAACTCCGAATTCAAGGAAATGTGCATGAAGATCTGGAAGAATTTGTGAGAGAAGAGCAGTAAATTGGTAATGTCTAAGTTGAAGTCCTTCCATGTTAAGTGTAAACATTGTTCGCATATCATATGTCTCCATCAATCTATAAATCAAAGATAAATAAAAATTAGATAAATAAAATACATCTGTAGAAAAAAGTAGACAATGGAAAAGTCTTACCTAACGAAAACACAGAATGCTTGAACCTCAGTCATCTAATAGAAATATATTAGTTTTTAGTATAAAGTATAAGTATAAATGAACTAGCATATACTCCATATAAATCACATAATACATTACATAATTCATATAATTCATATATAATTCATATAATTCATATATAATTCATATAATTCATATATAATTCATATAATTCATATATAATTTATAATTCATATATAATTCATATATATACTTGCAAACTTACATTCATTAACAATGGTCCGACCAAAAATCCGAGACCTTGACAGTATCCTACCAAAGGATCATAAAGACTATAAGCCTTTAATACATTCCAAAGCATAGTTTGTCCTTCACCATTTTCTTCTTTAAACATTTCTATAGAAGGAAATGTTCTAGCTAAATCTCGTTGAATAATTTTATCATAAGGTGTGGATTCTGTTAAAAGTTGTGAATACATAGTTTCGAGATAAGTTGAAGAAGCTTGGCACATCGATTGCCAAATCAACCCTCTCAATTTTGGAGGTAAACCTTGTTGTAATTTTGCAGTAAGAAGATGAGGAGTTTTTGCAGCTACTGAAGTATAATCTTGAATTAATGCTGACCAAAAATCCATATCAACAATATCAGAAAGGTCTCCATCTTTGAAAACAGGAATTGTTACATTTGATGATTCATTTACTGTCAAATTTGTATTATTATTGATAAGAGATTGAACTGTTTCTAAATTGGCTTGAAGTACATTGGATTTAATGCACACTGATTTAGGATCGTTATCCAACATTTCATTTTGACGTTCAAGACGGGCAAGAAGAAATTCAGTAGAATCCTAAAATATATATATATATATATAAAAATCTATGTTAGAATTTAAAAGAAATGAAAAATAGCATATAAACATAAAAAACATAAAAATAATATTTCTATTACCTGTGGAGGTAATTGAGAATTTTGTTCTTCCAATCTTGCAAGTAATTCTTGATTAAGTTCACCTTTAGGTAAGACGCCCAAAGCGGATGTAGTCTTTTTTGCTTGTGTCCTTACAGTAGAGCCACGGCGGACTTTAGAAGAGAATGTAGGTTGCTTTGTAGGTTTTTTTTTAGGATTTGCAGTAACAGAAAGATTATTATCCTCATCCGTATTATTAGTAGGCTTTGAAGCAAAAGGTTCTGAACGACGTAATTCCATTATTTTAGGAGATACAATTGGTGGTTGTGTCGATGATTCAGAAGTAACGGTAGACCTCAAAGGAGACTGTTTTGGTGGATCAATTGGACGATTTTTGAACGTAAGGTTCAATTTTGGTGGAACCGAACGTTTTTTATTTAAAGAACGATCATTTTCAGAGGAATCATCATCAATGATATCCTCTTTATTTTGTTTTCGAGAATTTATATTCTTAACTTTAGGAGTAGATGTAACTTTTTTCTTTTCAGTTTCAGTTTTTGTACGAATAGCAGTAATAATTGGACTAGGTTTTTGCTTTTCTTTTGTAGAGTTAGCTTGTTTTGTATGCGCCGAAGTTGAATTCGACTTATTTAAATTTTGATTATTAATTGATTTGGAACGAGACGCGGTTTTTACCGAGGATTTCTCTTCATTACTACGAATTTTATTACGGGTATCCTGCCCTATTGTAATATTCTTATCCTTATCTATCGCATTATTTATGCTATTTGTAAGGGTCACATTCTTTTCTACAATCTGTCCAGCAGAAGAAAGTTTTGATGATACATCATTATCTTTTGACGTCAAACTTTCATCTCGGTCAACGCTGATTAAAACTTGTTGCTGAGAAAGATTTTCTTCTGAAGTGGTCTTTTTTGAAGGCATTTTCTTATTTATAATAATAATGACAACAATAATAATAAAATAATAATAAAAAAGTAGGAAAAAAAAAACAAACCAAAAATTGCTCTAAAAAAAAATATAAATATATATATATATAATCGATAACGATATTTTTTTTTTAATTGAGGGAGAAAAGAGAGTTAAAGTTACGATCAATAGACGTAAAAAAAAAAAAAGGCGGGAGTTTTTTTAAAGTCGGGAAAAAGGTTGAAACGTTCCACCTTAAAGAGGATTTCCAATCCGGGAAGTAATTGGCCTTCGAATTTAGTGGCTTGTGACTTGCCATATGCATATGAAACGTTATATTAGCGATAGAAAAAAATGTCAATTAAAATGAGTACATATGTATAAATGCGGATAACTATATTTACACCAATTACGTATCGGAGTAAACTCTGCTAATAAAAGCCATATCAAATTTAATGTTACCTTAATCTTTTTTTAATCATTTAGCGTGCCGCATGCACTAAGTACAAATTAGTACGTACGTATGCAAACCTGGTACGTTTAGCAAAATTTAGCTAGTAGGGAAAAATCTCCGTGTCTTTGACTTGTCATTTTAATGAATATATCAAATATGTATGTATGTGTAGATCTTTTTGTGAAAGCACAAAACTAGCTTTTGGTTGGTTTTCTAAAATATTTTAAATTACAAAGTATTAAGAAGCACGAAAATGATAACGTGCGACGCTAAGGAAAAATAGTGAATTAGTATTATAAATAAGACAAAGGTTTACCATATTGTTAGAAACATTATGTGCATTTATACGTACAAAGAAGAATTCTCTTTATCAGTTAGGTTTTAATCTTACCGGTATTAATTCAGTTAAATATCACGAATGACGTACACAATAATAATAATAAATGCTAATAATAAATGCTTCACAAATAAAAAATTAAAAATGCAAAATTAGTACAACTTGCGATACAAATTACATATAATCGAAATATTCCGAAATCCGAATTATTGTCTTAACCGAGTATTCTATTTATAATAAACACTACGTACCACGCATTAACAATTGAAAACCAATTATGTATCAAAAAAAATGAATTTATTTTTTTTTCTAAAATAATTCAGAACTTTAGGTACATACGCACGCACCTACGTATGTGTCATGATACCTTGGCATTTGTTCAGAAAGCACAGAAAATTCTTCGGACCGAAAAATGTAATTTGAATATTTGTTTTAAGAAACTTGTGTCGGACGAAGCCTATAATTTGTACAATTTGAATGCGCGTGCTTAAGCGAACAATAAGCAAAAGATAGGAAAATGATAGCCTCATGCAAGGTAACATTCATTCTACCGAAAGTGCCACGTGAAATACCAAAAATTTCAAGCAAACAAAAAATTCCCTTTCGATTATAACGGGTAATATATATCCATTCACATGTTCACACATCTGTTTTATTTCCAATGATGGTTCGTAACACATCTATAATTTGGTGCATAGTCATTTATTAAGACCGAAAAAAAGAACTTTCGAGTACCGTCTTTATTTCCCACAATTCTTAGCGTTAGCGATTGTTGCCACAAGTTATAAATTACTAATATCTTTTTTCTTGGTCAAATACAGTAGAATGCATTACAACATGCATATTTGATATGTGTAACGAAGATCGTATAAACATTTGTGGCGCGTCACTCGCCATCGATATGATATTGATTGTGTTACCATAAAATTCAATGGTCTAAGGGGTTCTTAACGTTAAGCATTTCACTCGAGGGGATCGGAGGCAAATTTTTAATTAGTCGGTAATTAAATAAGCTGTCCTATTATTTGATTACCGACTAATTAAAAATTTGTCTCCGATCCCTCGAGTGAAGTGTTTGAGAATACTCTAAAGCAAGAAATTTGACTATATGAAAATAAAGTTTCATTAATTCTTATCGTTATTACTAAGATTTGTACGGAAGAAAATCAGTCAATAATTTATCTTTATGTGTCTATGCGCCTTATGCATAGCTAATGCATAGTTAATGTTGGCTGAACCAAGCCACAACTTTATCGCTTCGAAAACTAACCATCTAAAAACTTTATTTATAAATATGGTTCTTTAAAAAAAAACCCCCGTATTTTCATATATGGAACTTTCATATTGATTAAAAATTGGCTTACATTGTTTGATCAATCTGATTTTTCAATGGATTAAATCATATAATCATTAACTACTGTTATAGGAGGATCCGTCGTATGCGTTAACGGTATTGTAATAATAAAATAAAAATAAAATAAAATTAAAAATTTAAGTGCTATTTTAATTTTTTAACATGAATAAAAAGTTGATGTCCTAACCTTAAAGAGGTTAAATGCAATATGCCTTGTTAATTTATTTATATTTATTTCGTCTATTACAGATAGCTCATAATAGTCATAAATAGAAAATTAAAATTTAAACCGAAGGGGCTGAGTATTATTCACTTAATTTTCCTGGATAAGTGAAAGGCTTTTACTATCTGGACTTGTTATGAAGTTATGATACTCTTATTTTCACAAAAAGTTCATCTACAGTATATCATTCAAAAATATTGACTTACATTTTTTAAAAAAATGGTTTGGAGTAAGAACTTTAACCTTAATACGTAATAGTTATTTCCTGGGCAGTTGGGTATAAGCGGGGCTGAAAGTCCCGCTTATCACATAGTGCCCAGGACATAACTGATTTATGCCCTACGATCTTGATATAGTGACCAGGGTATAAAATTTTTTAAGTTATGCACAAAATAGAATAGTATTAGTTATTTCCTCTTAAACATCAACTGGAAACCTTATTTATCTATCATCTTCATACTTTCATCTGTTAAAATCACGATGATGTGGTCATTTGACCATTGATAATGTAGCATCGTAGATAACGGTCAACCTTCACGTTAAATCGACACATTCAGGTTGAAAAGTAATCATAATTAACAATCAACCTAAAATTTGACTTACCTTAAATCGAAATTATCGTAGTTATCATCTATATGATTGTCACTAAATATAATATTTCCGTTGTTATCATATTGTTTAATGAGTAAACTTGTTTGCGAATCAGTTTATTAAACTATTTTTGATTGTAGTCTACGATAGTTTTTGTTTTTTTTATAGAAATATTATTAGCTCTCAAATCTATCAACTTGAATAGAAACTATCTCCATTAATATTTGGTATATTATTTTTAACATCTATTACGTAATATAATCGTTAAAATGATAATCAAAAAATACAGTATATCAATGCTCAAAAAAAGTTCTGTATCACTGAATGATTTCCATTAACTTATTCGGTCACAGTGGCAATCATAAATAATGTAACAAAGAAAATTTTTTAGTTAGATCGTATTTTCTCATGCAATTCCGGGCATATCGGTTAGTTTTTTTTTTTATTAATTAAATAAAAAATTTTAAAAAATTTAATGAACAATTTTTCATGGGCACGAACTTTGCATTATTCTGCTTATTTTTAACAACAACATGACTGTAAAACAAACAATTTTCTGTCTTGTAATTATTATTATTATTATTATTATTATTATTATTGTCTTGTAAATTTGAAAATATATAAAATGAATAAAATTTGATTGTTATCATTCAAAATAATCATCATTTTTAACATCAAAATTGCCTCTAAAAAAATGTTATTGTTACAAAAAACTTTTCTGCCAAATGTTTCAAGGAAATTTTTTTCTACCACTCAAAGTATAAAACATTATTTTCATGTTTTTTAGTAAGCTATAAATGGTGCAAGTCAATTATACCTATATTGTGAAAAAAACTGAATCCCAAATTAATTGGCACCTTGCTTTTGGGATTAAATGCAGAGAAAAAAGCATTAATTCCCAATGTAAATGATTTGGTTCTTTGAAATAAATCAAAAAAAATTAATCTTCAAATATGCTAGTTTAATTAAAAGTATATCAATCAACACTCTTAAAAATTAGAGTTTCTAATTGAATTGATTTTGAGAATAAATGCCATGAACTATTTTATTTAATATTTGCTATAATTCTAATATTTCTGCAAACAAGTAGGCAAGCAGAAACATTAATATTAAATAACTATAAGATGGTGTATAACAATTTTGAACAATATTAAAAACAGCCCTTTGCTGAAATACATCTATTATTTTTTTTAAGTATTTTAAATCACCTTTTCAAAGAATGCAAAAAATTAGCTAAGATTATTAATAATAGTATAAAATTATTAGTCTTAAAAATAACCAATAATAATTTTGATTATGAGAAAGAAAAAGTATTTGTGAGTACTCTATTCAAGAACATAATATTAACCTCTTTAGATTTTTTAAACAATAGTCTTGGGTCTGAAAGTAAAAAAGCATTTGCAAAAGCATTTTTCAAAAACAACATGCTGAGATTTTTGAATCTTTCAAGCAATAGACTTGAATCTAAAAATAAAAAAGCATTTGCAGAGACACTTTTTAGAAATATTACATTAATATATTTAGATTTTATAAATTATAAACTTGGATCTGAAAATAGTAAAGTATTAGCAAATGCACTTTCTAAAAACAGCAAATTAATCTCCCTTGATTAACCAATTCAGATATGAAAAGTTGAAGACAATTTTTGCTTTTAAAAAAAATATAGCCTTAATATTTTTAGACATTTATATAATCAAATTGAAGTCAAAAGAATAAAGATATTAGCAAAAGTACTGTACTTCAAAAGAATATTATATTAAAAACACTAAATCTTTTGTATAATTATATTGGACATGAAGGATTAAAAGTATTAGCAAAAACACTTTATATTAATACAAATTTAAAGTTCTTATATCTTTTTAATATAGAATTTAAAGCTAAAAGTGTTGTAGAATTAGAGAAGGCTCTTTGTAAAAACACCACCTTAAGCTTATTGGACTTTAGCTTTCTTAAGTCCAAATTTAACAAAGTTTCTTATATCAATTATATTAATAGGTGATTCTCCAGTCACCTGGTTAAAAAATTTTTTTTTATATATAAATTTTACTATGCACAG